GGACGAGAACACCAGAGACAATAGAGAGAGTTAGTCGTAATTGAACCAAGATGTTAATCTCCTTGAAATTGCAGTAAAGACAACAGTGTACAAAGTACAAAAATTCGTATACAAAATACTTCCACCCCAAAAAGAAAACTACGTAACAAGCCAAAAATCCAACGGACCAGACTACAGATTTACCTCAAAGAAATAAAATAAAAACAAGTTGGTATAAAAAGGCAGGTGAGGACTTCAACTCTACAGTACTTTTTGCCCCTCCATGAATATTCCTACGATTTGTACAAACTTGAATATTCTCCATGCATAATTGCGCGATTCTTGAAATCATTTACTACTGGTCATCAGCATCGAGTTGATGACATGCATAATCAGCCGAATGCTTGAAAGTTCAGCAGGGGTTGTCGTAGGAAGATTCCGATGATGGATTAGTATCTGATATACTTGCTCAAAGATAGGTCGCACGTGCACTGCAATCATTGGATCAGTTGGATTTATGGCGGTTAGCACATCCCTCATCCAGGACAGTTTTCGGGCTGTTTCACTGCTAACATCACAGGCCAACTGCTGAAGAAGCGAAATAAGAACTCCTTGACTCAACGGGAGAGGATTCATCGACAAAATACCCGGTAAATCAACCTGGTAGAAGGCACAGGAACACCATTAAGATGCATCAACCGACAAAAAGTACACAACTCAACAGAGAGAACCAGCAGGCCCGCTATCCCCTTGTATGGTCAAGATGTCAAATGCAATCAACTAGGAAATCATTACTGTAACTTAATTGGATGTCTGTTTCTACTAGTTAATTTGCATTTTCCAACTCTATGATTTGGTTCATATGCGCTTCAATTAAGTGCGTCCTTCTAAGTTCTACCAGCTCAAACGATAAGAGGTGAGACATTTTCCATGTGCAAGGAATAAAGTAAAAGCAAAGAGTATACCTGAGAACATAACCACGCTACAATAGACACATCACTTCTTTGCAAAGCCGCAGTGAATGCTTCCTCGTACTTGCGCTCCGTTAACAATCTAGATAGTTCTTTGGTTGGATCAACAGGAACCTCAAGCTATTATAGAAGGTAAAAGTTTGAGTCAAAATGATAAGAAAGGACGAAAGTCTAATAGCAGCATATAAGTAGCTTATTCTTTTTTTTTATAAGGTAAATAATTTTATTGACAAGTAGCTTATTCTTTTCTCTAGTAAGAAGTAGTAATTTAAGGGAATAGAAAGAACCTTCTCGTGCAGTAATGGTCCATTACTCATGTGGGTAATCAGTGGATTTGGTGAATTGGAATTAGCTCCAGAAACTGCAAGAGTAAGCAACTTCTTTTGACCATCAGCTAACTCTCCACTCAATGTTTGAGTCATCGATGATGCGGAATTAATGGCATCCTGAAAATTAACTATAGTCAGTTCTTTTTAAAGACTAAAAAACTCTAATAAGTATGCAATTTGAAAGAGTATAAACCCAGCCGTTATCGATGAAAACAGGTATATCCAAGAAAAAGTTAACCTCCGACACTCATTGCAACAACTTAAGCACAGACCTAGAGGGAAGAAGGGAAGATTTTCATATACACAAAAGAATTATCGATTTAGTTATATCACCAGAGAATTCTACGAGTAACAACAGCTTTTAAACCTAAACTGAAAGTAACAACCAAAGAAGAATACTACACGCACTCTCTCGTGACATCTATACTAATGAATTGTCACTCACTACTCTTGGTGGCTGCACACTACTAAAACTCTCAGACACATGAGATCAACATGTATCACCCATAACCTTGAAAGCAACAACACAATTTCCAACCCAACACGTGTCGAAGTCTCTCTAAGAAAAAGTCAGTTGACTATCCCCCCCC